GCATGGCACACTCTGTGCTCCTTGGGTCTTAAGGGGTACTAGCTAAAGCAGTGGCCACTATATTTTAGCATATCTTCTTTTAAAAAAAATCCGCCAACAAAATGCCCTAAGTTAACCCTATAAAAGACAACCACTGCTGGTGGAAAGGTTGTGGATGAGATACTGACAATACATGCAATTTATCTTTTTCATATCTAAGGCGTGGCAAAAGCACATTTGACTTACAACAAGCAGAATAGCAGCTGACATGAAGTACCTTAGAAAATGTCAGTCTCTTTAAAGACCAAGATCCAAGAGAAAAATTATACTACTATCATGGGGCTGAATTCATAGTTACTCTTTAAGATACACACATGCACACACTTACACATATACCGGCAACAAGATAATGTCTGCTTATATGAAAACCCAAGAATGCGTCTGTTTTTTGAACTTAGAAGAAAATAAGGTAAACCAAGATGGTGTGAAAAAGACTTAGCTCTCCTGGGCAGACAACCACAGCAGCTGAGGTGATGGGGTCATCTTAGCTGTGCAAAAGGAGTGCTGCCATATTCCAGAGAAACTGAGTTAGTCGCTAAAACATTAAACGGGTAACATTAAACGTTAGCATTTGGCTAGGGTCCTGCCCTTCTTGGTACTCCAGATACCTAAATGCACAGTGGAGTATTAAAAGAGCCTCTGGGAAAAAAACTGGAAGACTTATCTACCAACAACTCTGAAGTGATCATTGGCTATGAAATGAAAAACCAATCATCTGCCTTCTGAGTGTTACCAATGATACACACAGTTCTTATAGTCACAACTATTAGGTCAAGTAACTCTGAAAAGATACTCATGTTTGATATAGAAGGAAGGGAAATACCAGTGAGTTGTCTGGACTATACTAAGCATACCTGAAATCTGAATTTGAGAAGTATAATAGAACTGGGCTCCAAATTAAGTCAGTTGCAAACTGACTTTGGGGGCTAGATTTCCATCTAGAAGAAAAGAAACACTAATTCTCTGTTTTATGAGGTTCCTAGTTAAGTATCACAATCAATTATATAATTAAGGCTGTAATCCTCCAGATATGAAATATCACTTTATTTTTTAAAATAAAAAGTAAAAACAAAAACAAAAAAACTGTCATGTTACAATTTTGAGATGGTAGCGAGCATCACAAAAATCAAAAGTCCAACAGTCCCAGAAATCCTGGGACTTACTAAGTATATACAATTACAGAAATAGTCTGGAGACAGTAAGGAATATCCAAATAGCAATGCAGAAGACAAACCTTAATGATGATCTCCTTTTTAACCCTTATAAGTGTGGACACTGCATTTCATATTAAGCTCCATGAAAGCAGAAACCTTCATCAATCTTGTGACCATTTCTCCCTTGTACCTAATAAAGTGACTGGAACATAATAAAATGTGTTGAATGAAAGAAGCGAAATTATCTTCTCTAGAATCATATGAAGAAAAAGGTAGAAAGCTAACTATTTTAAGGCACTAAAAGAAAAATGGGGGAAATAATTGTTCTTTCTCAAGTTCTCTTCCCATCCCTTTATATTCACTTCTATGAAGTTCAAAAAATAAAGACAACTCTGGATCAATATGCCCAAGATACCCTCCAATATGACAATCGCAACTATTTCACCAAAGTCAGAGAAACACTAGGGTTATCATAACGTGCTCAGCTTAATATTTACTACAATTGTACAACAGCGCATGGTAGCATAATAACTGAGAAGGTTTAGGTACTAGTAAAGGGAATTCTGTCTACTCATATCTTTGGAGGGATAGCTTCAAATTTTTACTTTAACTCCCAAGGTTTCCTGCTCAGGTTTACTAAGTTTCCAATACTTCTACAGTGACAGAAGTCTGAATCCCAGTTCTGTTTTTGCATGTCTAAATCTAGGAACTTAAAAAATATTAGAAGTTTAATTTTACTTATTTATTTTTATTGATTTATTTTCGAGACAGAGTCTCACTCTGCTGCCCAGGCTGAAGTGTAGTAGCGCAGTCTGGGCTCACTGCAACCTCCACCTCTCGAGTTCATGCCATTCTCCTGCCTCAGCCTCCCAAGTAGCTTGGATTACAGGCGCCCGCCAACATGCCTGGTTAATTTTTTGTATTTTTAGTAGAAACGAGGTTTCACCATGTTGGCCAGGCTGGTCTGACCTCAGGTGATCTGCCTGCCTCAGCCTCCCAAAGTAATGAGATTATAGAGTTGAGCCACAACACCTGGCCAGCAGTTTAATTTTAAACAGTGTGTGACATCTTGCCTTCTTCGAGAAAGCTATTCGGACAACTACATGCGGTTCCTATCAATCTCATCTGTTGTATTTTGAATGCCCAGCATGCCTAAAACATGACAAGACAAAAGTACCATGAAAATTGTTATTTATGTAGCTCTTTCAGTGAGTGCTTATTTCTTAGGGAGGTTATGAATGAGATTAAGACAGCCAGAGGAGAAACAGCCAAGGCCTGCCCTACTTTTATGTTACTACTATATTTACAGAAAGAACTCAGGCCAGATTAGGATGATGCCAAAGAACTTGTGCACATGTATGTTCTTCCTCTCTCGAATAACATGCCTGTTACTCAGTTATGGGTGGACAGATTCTCCTTAACCAAATGGAAAACATCCAATTTATAGATATAAAACTACTCTACAGCTGAGTGGACAACTTCCAGAAGAAAAGAAAACCTATTTATGCAAAGCACCTCAAAAGATAAAATCTCTAGCAACTGCTACCTAATCTTTCAAGACCTGTTCAGGCACAAGAATGCCCTTTTACAGAGGAAAGAGATTCAGAGGCTGCTTTAAACTGAAGTTACAAAGCAACAGCAGAAGGGAAAAGCAGTCAGGCCCACCAATTTTGTAAGTCAACATAAAAGGTAGGCTTTAGGGGTTCTGATTTGACATTCTAACTATTACATATCAACCTCCCCAAGCTCCCCAAGTAACAGTCTAGTAAGTAAGCAGATATATCAAGAGGATTTTTGAAATATAAAATGGTTAGTCTGCCACAAGATGGTATTTAAAGCATTTCAACAGTACTCTAACAACTTTCAATATTTAAAAACACTGAAGAACTCACAGAAAGCCAGGCCATTTTCACTGTTTTCACTGTAAGTAAACAAGGTACTGGCTTCACTTTAAAATAAACAAATAAAACTTTTGAATAAGTCACACTTTCCAAACAAGCTTCATTTACTTAAAAAAAAAAAAAAAAAAATCTCACAGGTAGGTTCTGATAGCTTTTTTTTTTTTTTTTTTTTTTTTTTTTGAGACAGAGTCTGGCTCTGTTGCTCAGGCTGGAGTGTAGTGGTGCAATCTTGGCTCACTGCTGCAACCTCTGCTTCCCAGGTTCAAGTGATTCTTGTGCCTCAGCCTCCTGAGTAGCTGGAACTACAGGCGTGCAACACCATGCCTAGCTAATATCTTGTATTTTTAGTAGAGACACGATTTCATCACGTTGGCCAGGCTGGTCTTGAACTCTTGACCTCAAGTGATCTACCCACCTTCGCCTCCCAAAGTGCTGGGATTACAGGCTTAAGCCACTGCACCCTGCCTCCAAAAGTATTTTTGATCAGTAATACAGCAGGTTTTAAATTCAGAATAGAAACATGATGAATAAAAGCTATTATAAAATAAATTGTTGGTATTTTTAAAAGCAGGCAAAATTAAGCAAAGCGAGAAAGAAATTAGGCAAAGTAAAGTAAATTAGACTTTGAACAAGAATTTCAAAAAAAATAGAAAGTATGGCTATTTTCCTCTGTTACCATGTACCTCCCAAACTAACAGTGCCCAAATTTGACAAAGTCACAGGTATCCTGAGTCATCTATAACATTGGGTCAGTCCAGATTATGTGTTTGGTCAATGACACACTGAACTTTCCTCCGAAGGAGAGTTATTTTTCTTTTCTTTTCTTTTCTTTTTTTTTTTTTTTTGGAGACGGAGTTTGGCTGTTGTTACTGAGACTGGAGTACAATGGCACAATCTCGGCTCACCGCAACCTCCGCCTCCTGGGTTCAAGCAATTCTCCTCCCTCAGCCTCCCGAGTAGCTGGGACTACAGGCATGCACCACCATGCCCAGCTAATTTTTGTATTTTTAGTAGAGACGGAGTTTCACCTTGTTGACCAGGATGGTCTCGATCTCTTGACCTTGTGATCCACCTGCCTCGGCCTCCCAAAGTGCTGGGATTATAGGCATGAGCCACCATGCCCGGCCCAGTTATTTCTAAATAAGCTAGAAAAACTAAGAATAACAATTCAATTTGGTACATTCTTACACAAAAGGTTAGTCTAGCCAGTCTTTTCCCATCATGAAGAACTGAATTGGAAAGAATTGAAAAGTAAACCAAGTCAATAAAAGGTCACTTTTACAGGTTTATTTGAGTCCCCAGAGTTTTAAATTATCTCACGTCAAATTAACTTGCTAGACAGGGCACCCCCACCACCACATATTTTTAGTTAAATACTCTCTTTTGCCTAGTTTTCCATCTTTCAGAATTTGTCTAGAAGTTCTCGTTAATAAGAAAGTTAGAATACCCTCAGCCAGTCAACGTAAATTATCATTAGATGTGACAAGAAATACTTAATCCAATCCCTGCCCTCAAAAGTCATTAGAAAATAATTTAAGGCCAGGTGCAGTGCCTCATGCCCGTAATCTCAGCATTTTAGGAGGCCAAAGCAGGAGGATTGTGTGAGCCCAGGAGTTTGAGAACAGCCTGAGCAACATAATGAAACCCCACTTCTACAAAAAATTTTAAAAATTAGCCAGGCATAATGCAGTGGCTCACACCTGTAATCCCAACTACTCAGGAGGCCAAGGCAAGAGGCTAACTTGAGCCCAGGAGGCCAAGACTGAACCACTGCACCCCCAGCCTGAGTGACAGAGTGACAGCTTGTCTAAAAAAAAAAATATTTAGACACATATATAGACACTATTTTCAAAGAACTATGGTTAACTTATTTCCTTTCTTAAAATTTATTTATTTAAAATTTTAAAAATATATGGAACGCTTCACGAATTTGCATGTCATTCTTGCACAGGGGCCATGCTAATCTGTATCATTCCAATTTTAGTGTATGTGCTGCCGAAGCGAGCACTCCTTTTTTATTATTATTATTTTTAGAGACAGAGTCTCACTCTAACACCCAGGCTGGAGTCCAGATGCGTGATTTCAGCTCACTGAAACCTCCACCTCCTGGGTTCAAGCAATTCTCCTGCCTCAGCCTCCCAAGTAGCTGGGATTAAAGTAGTCCACCACCATACCCTGCTAATTTTTGTAATTTTAGACGGGGTTTCATCATGTTGGCCGAACTAGTCTTAAACTCCTGATCTCAAGTGATTCCCCGCACCTTGGTCTCCCAAAGTGCTGTGATTATAAGCGTGAGCCACCAAACCCAGCCTGTGGTTAACTTATTTCTAGTTTGTCTTAAAAAAGAGGCTGCAGTACATCAAAACAATGTTTTTCTTATATATATATATATATTTTTTATTTTTTTTAATTTTTAATTTTTTAGTGTTTGTAGAGACAGGATCTCATTACGTTGCTAAAGCTGGTCTTAAACTCCTGGGCTCAAGTGATCCTCCTTCTTTGACTTGTTAAAGTGCTGGGAGGCCATGTGCAGTGTACACATATGTAATCTCAGCACTTTGGGAGGCCGAGGTGGGAGGATCACTTGAGCCCAAGAGTTCAATATTAACCTGGGCAACACAGGAAGTCCCCATCTCTACAATTAAAAAATTAGCTGGTATGGTGGTGCATATCTGTGGTCCCAGCTACTCGGAAGGCTGAGGCAGAAGGATCGCCTGAGCCCAGGAGGTCAAGGCTGTAGTGAACCATGATCACACCACTGCACTCGGGCAACAGAGCAAGATGCTGTCTCAAAAAAAAAAAAAAAAGTGCTAGGATTCTGTGTGTGAGCCATCACACCCAACCTGTATTTTTTTTTAAACCAATAATTTCTCTGTCTCCCATTCTGAGCAAATTCCCGTATTTCCTATCCTATTTTTCGAAGCGGCATTAACGTCTCAGATAAATTTCAGAGAAAATCATCCTTGTGGCTGCAAAAATAAATAAATAAAATGAGCCTTCAAAGGAACAGATGCTCACAGCTCTTTCCAACTACCTTGTTCTATTCAAGGATATACCTCCTCTAGCCTGCTGGAAATGCCTGGAAGATTAATTAGAGCAGAAATAAAGTGATGAAGTAAAACTGTACAGACGGAGATAATACTCCATCATATACGAGTCCAGTTCCTAGTACCAAACCAATATTGGATTGTGTTTAGATGCCATTAAGTCATAGGTGGCTTAGAAGCATGAGACATAAATTCTTCTCACTACTTTAGACCAGGAGATACTTCACTAATGTTTGGTCATCATACCAGGACAAGAAAATGCTACATATCATGTGTAAGAAAAAGCTCCCAGTTACACAGTCATATATATAAGCTAAAACATTATTATTAATACATAAGCTAAAACATTACTATTAAGAAAACGAAAACTAGGCAAGGGAAAATTGCCCATTTTGTACTTACCAGAATTCTGGATCCGCCATGTTTTTACAAACTGAGTATCAGGAGGTATTGACTCCCCTTCTCCTATGGTGACATCTTCAACAAAGGACATAGAGGGCACACTGATGTTTGGGCTCTCAAAGTCATAATAGGCGCCTATTGCTGCTTGTAGGTTCCTACAAAAAAAAAAAAAAGAGAGAGAAAAGGCAAAAGACTTCAGTACTATCCAGATGATATTATTCTAATTGTTAAACAAAATGAAAAATCCTGTTTCTTAGGGTTTGTCACAGAGGCTCCTGGTATACAAGTCTTTAAGGCCTTGAATTCTGGCTGAGGAACAACAGGAAAAATACCAGGACCAACAAATTTGTGTATCATTTTCTCCCCACATAGAAAGTAACAAACATAGTAACATCAGCAACAGTATGAGGAAATCTCCCTTGTTACCTATAGGAAATGGGTAAAGAAATCAATTAAAAGAGCACAGTATAGCTATAAAATTCAAAGAAGCACTGCTTTGTATTTTGTATTAAAAAAGAGAGAGAGAGAGAGGGAGAGAGAGGTTTTGCCATGTTGCCCAGGCTGATCTTGAACTCCTGAGCTCAAGGAATCCACTCACTTCAGCCTCCCAAAGTGCTAGGATTAATGGGGTGAGCCACTGCACCCAACCAGCTATTTTAAAAGAAGCTCTACTTTTTTAAAATAAAGTAATGCATGCATATAATTTGAAAAGTTTCACATATATTATCTTTTTCCCTCAACACATACAGACATAACTTATTACTTTCTTAAATATCCTTCCAGAACTTTCTTACACACATTCAAGCAAACATGATATACCATCTTGTTTTCCTCCTTTTTTATACAAAAGGTAGCATAACATACAATGCCCTTTGCTTTATTCTCTTAATACTCTGTCTTGAAGACATTCCTGTGTTAGCACATAGAGGTTCCTCACTGTTTTTTAACAGCTGTTACCACTATCCAGATGGATCATCATTTAACCAGTTGACTTTTGAATTCGTTTCCAAACATTAACTCTTCCATAAATAAGCTTAAGCACACACAGTTTTGTATAGACACAAGAGCATTTGTGAGATAAAGTCTTATTAAGTGATACTGATCGGTCAGAGTTTGTGGTTTTAATAAATATATCCAAACTTCCCTCAATAAAAGTTGTACACTAATGCTTCCACCAAGAATGTTAAGAGTGTGCCTATTTTCCCCACTTGCTCATCAGGGGTGTTTCTCTAACATTTTGGATTTCTCCCATTAATAGTTTCAAAAAATAGTATCTCAGTGAGATCTTGAGAGGTTGCGTATCCTCACATGTTTAAGAGGCACTTGTAGTTTCTGTTTTGGAAGTATCATTTGGTAAATGTTGGTGTTTTTTTAATTACTCATAAATCCCCTTTCATCAGAAGGAACTACCAAGCACATAAACCAGAGTTTCCAATTGAACAGAAGCGCATGATTGTCAGCTTGGCTGATCAGTGCCAGAAACCAAGGGCCACTAAAGCATTTCAGTAAGCTGTGTTCATTACAGAGATCAAGGAAATTGTTGGTAATTACATTAACTGCTTCTCTTCTGGTCTTACTCAAACAAATGACATCATCCCCACTTCCCACACTATACAACAATCCAAGCTGCATGTTTCTAAACATAATCCAACCATAAACCAATGAATCCACTGAGCGGTTTTTAATTATACATATACATAGCATGAAACAAGCTCTGACAGTACACAACTGATCAAGAGAAATGCTAATAACAGCAAATAATTTTCTGCTGGGGGCCTGCCTGCTCCTCCAGGTGCTTGCAGCTGCCAGAAAGGAAGGCTATATTTAGAGCACGTACCTGAGGTCAAGCCTCATGCAATGGTGGCCTGACATATTAGTCAGTAATGACTGGAATTACAATACCAATGGCCTGCCTATGTATGGTATATGTGCTTGATAACATTTACATATAGAGAGCTGGGCTGGGGCCAAACTGGACCTCTTTGCTTGACTCTTCAATACAAAGGCTTGGACTTTCAGTCATCTCAGCAGTTTCCTATCTAGCTGACAGAGATCTTAAGTGAAGGATGTTTGTGACGGGTCAATCTTGGAGAAGTCTAGCCCTTACCATCCACAAACAGGCTTAGAAGTACATCTGGAATTAGCATTACACTTAGGGATCAGGGATAATATGGGAGAAAAATAAGCCTAGTTTGCAATTTGCTCTTTTGAAAACATTTTGGAAAAGCCGTATGTCTACCTTTTTGTAAAGAGAATATTTTTGGATCAGGTCTTCAACAAGTAGCCTGATAAATTGTTTTCTGTTCACTTGGCTTTAAAATATGTTTGGGAGCAAAGAAACTATTTGTGCACTCGGGACAATTGCCAATTCTCATCCCCAGTCTGTGTCATATTTCACTCCTTGGCTCTGATATCAGGACAGGACTTCCAAGATCACTGCAGTAGGAACACTAATAAGTGGAAAAGTCAAGCTACCCAATTTAAGCAGATCCATTCCTATCCTGAAATATCCTTTCACACATTTCCAACTTACCCCACAGTCAAAGCTTATTTGTATGTGTATTTTACAGGTAATTTAGCCAGAGAAAGATTAAGAAACATTTAAAATCCCAAACTGAAACTGAAAGCAGTGAACTGGAATCCTGGCAGGAAGCTGGAGAAGAGGATGACAAAGCAAATTCATTTCCCAAGGACGAGGCAGAAAGTGGACTTTATCCCAAGTGATCTAACCCATCAAGCAGGTACACAGCTACAAATGCGGGGTACACAGCTTCTCAGAGTTCAGAGCATTTAAATTACTGGCCCACTAGGCTGAGCAACAGCAAGCATAGCCCAAACGGCTCTAATTCAGTGTCAGAAAGCAGACATGATAGCAGGTATTCTTGTTCAAAACAACATACTCAGCTATTATTAGCCAACAAGAAATTCTTCATGAAATGGAGCTGGCTGAGGTGATGGGAAAAGGAAAACATTGACCCAGCATTCAGTGTAGTCTAAAAGTTTAAACTTCCAGATTTCTTCAGTGTTTCTGCTCAAAAAAGTTTCAAATCTAATTTCAGATGGTTAAAAGTACCCTGAAGAACAAATGGATGCAACGTAACAGTGAAAACAAGCACAGGTTAAGATGGATGGTGGTGCCAGGTGCAGTGGCTCATGCCTGTAATCCCAGCACTTTGAGACGCCAAGGCGGGTGGATCACTTGAGGTCAGGAGTTTGAGACCAGCCTGGCCAACATGGTGAAATCCCATCTCTACAAAAAATACAAAAATTAGCTGGGTGTGATGCATGCCTGTAATCCCAGCTATTTGGGTGGATGAGACAGGAGAATCACTTGAACCCAGGAGGCGGAGGGTGCAATGAGCCGAAATTATGCCACTGCACTCACTCCAGCCTAGGAAACAGAGTGAAACTCCGTCTCAAAAAAAAAAAAAAAAGATGGATGGTGATTATAGTTGCACATTGCCAATATAGCTAATGCCACAGAATTGCATACTTTAAATGGTTAAAATGGTAAATTTCACGTCATGAAGATTTTACCACAATAATTTTTTTCAAAGAG